TAGTGTTTTTAAGCAGAAAAGCATTATGTAAGAAACATTGTTATCACAGTAAGTTTTAAAAACAGGAGACTAATTTTTAAAATTTGGATGATGTGAATAAATGAGCTATTTGTTTCATCTTCTCACTTCATTTTAGTAAAGATGACAATGTTTGTTTTTATTTCTTCAGAAAAAAGAGCATTTTCAGGAAAATGCATTTCTGTGTTGCATTCTCCATTTCTGTGCCTTTCATGGATGGGACATATAGCCAGCAGCAACCTTTGAAAGGTAGGTTAGAGTTAATTCCTTTTTTGAAATAAGAGCCAATGACAAATGTCAGACCACTGGTGCATAGAAATAATGAAAAGCCCTAGTTACTCCAAGAATGTGGCTGACATTGAATACATTATGGCCCAATTATGTTTCTTTTCAGAGTGGTTTGGATGAGCAGATGGAAGCTGAGATTCCCAGGCCTGCAAGTTCTTCTATAAAATATTCCCTCTTTTGTGTGGTATGGTTTACGGCAGTGGTTTCCAAAGTGAGGGGAGGGGAGACAACACCCTTGGGAACATGTGAAACAATACCGAGTATGAGAAAAAGAATTAGAGCTTTTATTCTATTTATTTTTATTTTTTTAACACATAGTGTTGAATATGTTTCATAATGTACATATGTTTATAATTTATAAGTAAATAAATGTGTGTGTATACATATGCATATAAGTGTGCATGTGTTTCTCAAAAATGTTTACCGAGGGGACCATGATCAGACACATTTGGGGAACACTGTTGGAGAAGGGTTTTGGAGTTAGATCTGGGTTTGAATTTCCCTGTCACCTTTGTGCAATGTGTGTTTCCTAATGACATACTAGGTTATAGTTATTGGGGAGAATGAAGAGGGGGAAGCAGTGGATTCTAGTCCTTACATTGCCACTAACTCACTGTTGTTGACTTAACTGTGTGGCCATGGAGGAGTTAGATCATTTTCATCAGATGCATTTATTTCATTCTTCACTCATACAATGGGGTGAGTAATAACATTTTCTTAACCAAGTAATCTGAGGATTAAATAAAACACTTGATAATTTAGTCCCCTTTTCTTTCTTATTGGGGGCACACAGGCAGTATGAAGGCATGTGTTTTCAGATTGCCCTCATCGTCTTGCCTTGCTGTCTTGTCTGGTCTCCTTCATGACTTGTGTTTCTCAGAAATGCACTCATCTGTGGTTATTCTCAGGGAACAATGAGTCAGGAACAGTGGCTCAAGTCCTAGCATTACCAGCCACTTACCACAGTGAGCGTTCGGCTGCGACTGATTGGGCACCCTGCTATGCGTCCAGCACATGCTTATTACCTATTCCTCATAGCACCCCAAAAGGGATTTGAGAGTTTCTCCATTTTTCAGATGAAGAAGCTCCGGAGCAGTGCTGTTCAATAGAATTTTCTGTGATGATGGAAACATTCTGCGTCTATGCTGCCCACTGTATAGACACATGCAGCTATGGAGCCCACATGCAGCTACGGAGCACTCAGAATGTGGCTACTGTGACTGAGAAACTGAATTTTTGATTTTACTTAATTTTAAATGATTTCAGTTTGGGCTGGCCAGTTAGCTTAGCTGGTTACAGTGTGGTGCTGATCATACCAGGGTCAAGGGTTCAGATAACTGTACCAGCCAGCCACCAAAAAAAATTTTAAATAATTTCAATTTAAATAGCCACATGTGGCTATTGGCTACTGTGCAGGATGGCAGAACTCTAGTGATTGCGAACAGATCACAGAATACCAGAAAGAGGTCTAAAAGAAAATAAATCAGAAATAACACTGAAGAATAAAAAATGGAATGACCATCAGCAAGTGCAAACCTTTAAAGAATTCCAGACAGAAAGCGGAAAGACATGGATTAACAAGTAAAGAAGGCCTGAACACATGCAGTGGGGCACTTTTAAGAGGTAGGAGCTGTTCTGGAGGCATTCCAAACCCGGAATCAGTGGACTCGTGGAGTGGGAGGGGGCTCTGGGCAATCTCCAGGATGATGAGTAAGAAGCTGAATCCAAGGCCAGGGACCTTCCTCACTTTCCAGTGTGGCTTCTGGCTAAGGAGCCAGAAAGTCTGGGGAACTCCCCAGAGACCCAGTGACCTCCAGAGGGATCGGAAGGGTCCACACCCAGAAGACAAGCCACCACAGCACACACCCTGACAGCCTGCTCCAACCTGACCCACAATCCCTGCAGGAAAGCTCCTTTTGTCGGAAGTGGGACTCCACCAAGAGGCAACAGGAATCATCAAATAAAATTATAAACATATAACCAAGAATCCCAAATATATTTGAAAAGCCAGCATCGTGAAGGAGAAACACCAAACTCAACCAACAAAAGAACTAATATCAAGAAAACAAGATAAATAGAGCAAACAGAAGAAGACTCCCCCCAAATTAGTATAATTAATATCCACAGTGATTCAAACAATATATCATTTATAAAGTAAGGATAGGCTGTATGAAAAAAAAATTAGGTATCTTAAAAATTACAAATGTAGTTATAAAAAATAAGAAGAATAAATAGAACTAATTTTCATTTCATCCAAGTACATTCTGCTACTCAGCTCATCTACTGCACATTTACTGCAGAATGTGCTTAGAGGAAATGCAAATTAGTTCTATGCAAGATTAAGCTAAGAAATTCTCCTTAAATAAACATAAAAGGACAGAAGTTCTAACTTCTAATGGGAATTTCAGCAGGAAGAAACAGAATAAATAGAAGGGAGGTATGAATTTATGAAAAAAATAATAAAAGAAAAATTTCCAAAGCTGAAAAATATTCGAGTTTTCAAGTTGAAATGACCCTCTAAATTCGAAGAAAAATAAATTTAAAAGAGAAAATTGTCATAAAACTTAACAGAGGATCCTAAAAGTTTCCAGAGAAAACAAACCAAGTTAACTATAAATGAACATGAATAAGATTGGCACCAGAACTGTCATCCACTTTACTAGAAGGCAATGGAAAAATTTCTCCAAAGGTCTGACCAAAAATTATTTTGGATCTAGATTCCTAAATTTAACCAAATGAGCATTCAAGTAGAAGGCAAAATTAAGACTGTTATGGACTGAATTATGTTCCTCACACCCATCCAAACACTATGTTGAAATCCTAACTGCCAATACCTCAGAATGTGACTGTTTTTAGAGATAGGGCCTTTACAGAGGTAATTAAGGTAAAATGAGGTCATATGGGTGGGTCTTAATCCAATATGACTGTTGTCCTTATAAGAAAGAGATTAGGACACAGACACATGGGGGAAGACCATGTGAAGATGCAGAGAGATCTGTAAGCCAAGGAGAGAGTTCTCAGAAGAAACCAGCCCTGCAAACCAAACCAACACCTTGATCTTAGGCTACTAGCCTCCAGAATTGTGAGAAAATAAGTTTCTGTTGTTTAAGCCACCCAGTCTATAGCATTCGTTACATCAGCTCTAGCAAAATAATACAAAGACACACACACATACACACACACTTTCAAATGTAAGATACAAAAAGTATTCAAGAAACAGTAGTTGAATAAAGAAAGCAGTAAAATGTATAATTAGGTTTAAACAACAGCCAAAGCATAATGAACAAAACTAATTTATCTGAAGCTAAAATCCCAGATGACCTACACATATTGTTTGGGGCAGGGATGTAAAGGCAAGGTCAGGGTGTGGGGAGAGGGTAAGGTGGTGATAGGTAAAGTGTGCTGTCCATTCCAAGCAATGAAGTTCCTCTTTTATCTGCTTTATATATTGACGTTCCATTTAAGATTGTTAAAAAAGTATTCTGTTGCTACACACACACACACTTTTGAAAGCCACTGTCATAGAAGACTTCTAAAGTCCTTTCTGCATTTAACTTTCTAGGGTACCCATCATTGCCTCATTTCCAGGATGAACACGCTGTTCCATGGAATCATAGACCAGGATACCCCACATGAGGCTGTGCCATGGCCATTTTTGTGAAATGACCATAACCCTCTTCACAGTGAAATATTCCAACATTGAACCAATTGCTTTGTGGGCATGTAAATGAGTTATCTGCAAGGCTGGATTCCATAAACCTCCTGGTTGGTGACTACCTACACCTAACCTGTACATCCGGGTCAGGACAAGTGGAAAATGCCTGAGCCTGACAACAGATGGCCTGAGTTCCAATCTGAACTTTGCCATTGTCTCACTGTGGGCAAGTGAGGTGCCTTAGTCTCTTCATTCATAAAATGAAGAATTGGCCTTTAAACCTCTGAACTTCTCATTAGCTGTTAAATTCTATAACTCATTTGTGTCATGATGCTTAATGAAAGCCAAACTGTGTGCAGCCCAGGCAAAGAGAAACCAGACCTCTGAAGACAATGTGAGCCTACAGAGACTTATCAAGACTTGTCATAAATATGATGTTATCATGATAAATCTGATGCTCTACTGTGTCAAACTTTTAAATAGGAAAAGATAACGAGCAAACCAACTCAACACGTTAGAGAGAAAACTTTTCCTCCTAGGATAGATGGAGTAACAAGCCTCTGATGATTAGCTGACCTTTTCTCCACAAGCTTCTTTGAGGAGATTATGTACGTATCGTTTCAGACACCCATCACTCTTATTTTTAGCTCTCAGTTCTCTTTGCAAGTGGAGTGCCCTGTGTCTCAGAGTTCCAGAGGGCTCCCAGATATGGCTCATGATTTATTTGCAAGCACCTTGCATTGATTTCCAGGAAGGTCAGAGGGGTGGGGGGCCTGGAGAAATTATTTTACATGTAAAATCTGTGGTTGTTGTTCCCATTCCATCCACTTGGCCAGAAATTATATGTCCCACAAATTGATCGCAGTTAAAATAGAACCCAAGAGACGTTGTTCTCCAAGATCCTCACAGCTGGTGTGGGGGGACAAAACTCAGGGCTTTGGTCACAGGCTATTTTCAGCCTCTGATAGCAGTTGTGTTACTCATGTCTCATTCACCTCTCCTCTGGGCCTCCCTCCTGCCCTTCCCTCTGCAGGCCAAGGCTGGTGACAGCCTCCGTATATTTAAAGAAGACAAGAACGCCCCTTACTCAGTTGAGCCGACAGACACCACACAGGCAGGTAAGTGGAGCGAAGTGGGCATATGGGCTGGTGTGGTGGCCAGTTGGGACTACAAGTGTCCCCTAGAGTAAGGGTGTGTTTCACGTCCTAAGAACCAGCAGCCACTCTGGTTCTGTGCGAGGAGGCTCAAGTGACACTTGATTCTGCTGTGGATCTAGTGGTTGTTAATTTCTTTTTTTTCCAAAAGATGACGGGTAAGGGGATCTTAACCCTTGACTTGGTGTTGTCAGCACCACGCTCAGCCAGTGAGCTAATCAGCCATCCCTATATGGGATCCGAACCCGTGGCCTTAGTGTTATCAGCACCACACTCTCCCGAGTGAGCCACGGGCCGGCCCAAGTGGTTGTTAATTTCTTTTTTTTCCAAAAGATGACGGGGAAGGGGATCTTAACCCTTGACTTGGTGTTGTCAGCACTACGCTCAGCCAGTGAGCTAATCAGCCATCCCTATATGGGATCCGAACCCGTGGCCTTAGTGTTATCAGCACCACACTCTCCCGAGTGAGCCACGGGCCGGCCCAAGTGGTTGTTAATTTCTAAAGAGATGATTAATATTTGGGGGCTCAAGGGAACTTCACAGACAAAGAAACAAGTAAGGGATTATTTTTGGTCTAAAACTATTTTCATGGTGGTATAATGTTTCCTTTCATCTTGGAGGGATGGCAGGAAAGCAGAAGGAAATACTAGAAAGTCCGCTGCACCAAAAGTCAATAAACCTGCATTCTAGTCCCAAAACCGGAATTTGAGAAAGTTCTTGCCCTCAGGATCTTGGTCTCCTTTCTACAGGGATCAATGCAGTATAGATGTGGTGACATTTTTCTAAACTGCAAAGTACTGCACAGTTGACAAAGTGTCTTCTGCTGTAACAGATGCAATACAGCAGAAGACAGCTCAAATTACAAGGAATTGTGCTATTCAAAAGATGTGGGTGAATGACTTAGATTTGGGGTTTGTTCATTTAAAGTAGATTTTATTTTAAAGATGTTCAGCAACAGGCTTGTTTTTAATCATTTAATATTAATCAAAACTGAACCCCCCAAAAGACACTGCTATATTGAAAATCCATTAGAAGCTCTATTTAATGGGAGGATAATTCCCATCCAGAGTGTGGGGTGTTTCCCAGGGTTTCCTCTAGGTTTTGATCAGGGACTTTTTTTAATATCGCAGGCATAAGTGTGATTGAGAATGAGAAGTGGTTTTAAGAAATGGCCCAAGGGGAAGTGCTCCTCAAAACTGAAAGCTGCTGCCTCTAATTTCTGCTCTGTCCCTGAGCCAGGGTGGTGACTCCTCCAAGAGGGGAGAGTTGGGTGACCCATCCGAGGAACCTCGACTTCTTGCAATACAATTTAATGCAATTTAAGAAGCACATATTGACTATCACCCGTATCAGGGCCGGGGGGAGGTAGAGGCAGCACTAAGCAGGTAAGATGGGTATGAACAGTAAGAAGGGTGGGGAATTGGGGGTACCCTGTGTCCTCAGTTCACTTTTGGGAATAAATCTCAATGCTGGGTACATCCAAGTCATCACAATATGTGTAAAACTGCTTTATGACCCAGAAAATGGGAAGGATTACTTCTGACTTGGCTTTGGTTCCTTTCTGAGCAACTCAGTCATTTGTGGTCAGTGGAAATGAGCTGCGGCTGTTCCCAAGGCTCAGTGCCTTCCTGGGGCCTGGGCAGACAGGTGCTGTGCAGCCCAGACACACGAGCCGTCCATCAGAGACAGGGGAGGCAGGACAGGGCAGGGGAGAGACGGAGGGACGGAGGAGGGAAGAGAGAGCAGCAGCACTCAGCAGGCAAACAGCCAAAATCCTCTTGGAAGAAGTGGAGACAGAATCTTGGTCAAATACAAACTTGGAAATCCTGGGAACCTTGGGAAGAAAATGGAGGAAAGCAAAGAGTATCAGTCATAGAGTCAGTTCAAAGTCTAACTCCGAACGTCACTTAACTTGTTGGAGTTTTTTTCTCTAACCAGTAAAATTAAGGTAAGCCCTCCTATCCTAAAGGGATTCATGAGGATTGAATGGGATAAAGTATAGGGAAGTACTTTGTGAAGTTTAATAAAACCGTACAAATAGGCGAGGCCTTCGAGAAAAGGCACAGGGCCAAACCCAATGGGTCGCAGGAGGATTTCCTGCTAAGCACAAGCGTGGTGATAAAAGTCCAGGGGTCAGAGTGGGTAACAACAGGAGTTAGAAGATGGTTAATTTGTTTTACAAGAGGAAGGACACAGAACTAAGAATATAATACACAGGAAATAGAACTCCTGAGGCAGGCGGACTTTCAGTTGCAAGTGTGCTGCTCAGATATCTGGGGATACCGTATGGAGAGCTGGGCTTCATGATCAAAGAGAAGTGTGATTCCTGGGGGTGTGAGAAACTGCAGTTAACCTTCGCAGAGAAGGAAAGCAGGAAGGGGGACCGTCATTGTGCCGAGGGTGGTGGCGGATGGAAGCTTGTTCTGAGCCTCACAGTGCACCTCGCCGCGGGAAAGGGTTGATCTTGATTTGATGGTTGTTTACTGCCTTGGGCAGGTATGGAACAAGCATTAGCTTATTTAATGGTCACAAAAAATCTTGCAAGAAGTCATTCTTCTGAGGTAGAAATTAAAATTCAAGGAAGCTCAGTAACCGCCCAGGGTCACATGGCTAGCAGTGGCAGAGCCAGCATGTAAACTGGGGTATTTGTGATCTTTCAAAATAAGTTGTGAAGGTCAACATAGAACAAATAGTGAAATTTCTGAGAGTGAAAGTCAGCCACACTTCAGAGATAATATCAGAAAAGGCATAACATGACCATGTGTTACAGCCCTAGTTTAATGGGCCTGTCTACCATGTCTGAGTTTTAAGGGGGTAACAGCCAACACTTGAGTTTATGTGCTTCCCAGGCTTTGTGAAAGGTCCTCTGGCTGGAGCACTTCATAATCTGGGTTCAGAAGCTTAAGGGGAAGCCATTGACCTTGAGTGTCCTACACAGGGAGCAGAGGGGCCTGGTGTCCCGTGGGCTGCAGGGACCCTGCATAGACTCTCTGCTCCCCTTCAAAACCCAGATTGCCAGCAAGGTGAGCTCAACCAGAGCTGTTACAGAGAGGAAGTGGCTGTCCTGGGACAGGGGCTTAGGATCTTACTTGACATACAATCAACGGCACCAAGCAGCCTGATCCATTCCAAGGGGGTCGACTCTCTCCCTGGCCTGGCCGTGCCTGTTGCCTGTGTGGCACACTCTGAAGACTGAGAAAACAGAGCTGGTTCATGGTCTGAACCAGAAGGGCCACAGTTAAGAAGCAGGGAGAGATGTGCTTGTTTTAAGAAAATAGATTCGAAAACTGGAGATAAAACAACTTCAGCAACAACGATAATAAAACTAGTAATGAAAGCAACTAAAGTTATTAAATAGCTGCATTTCTATAAAGTACCTTAGCTATTATTATCTTATGTAACCTGAAAACAAGGCTTCTTCCAGACAAGCCCTCTCATCCTGTCTTTACATGCATGAGGACTAGGCTCAAGAATTGGAGCAATTTGTCCATGGTCCAACAGTTAGTGTTTTTGAATGCTGGCTTGGTTCTTTCCAAGGCCCGTGCTTTTTCACTATGCTATACCAACTTTCTTACCAGAATGAAGGGAAGGATAGAGAAGAGTCAGTATTTGAGATGGGACAGCACTGGGCAGAATTTCTGCACGGTGAGGCTTCAATTGCTGTGGAGATCCTTAAATCTGTCTTGGGATTAAAGGACCCTTGAAGGGGCTTCACTATATCACAGCCACTTGGACATGCATCCCCACCTGAGCTAAAATCAATAGTGAGAAAGAACTCTCCAGCTCCAAGGGAGCCCTGGCCATGTTTGAACAGCGCTGACTCTTCAAAAGTCCTTTGTTTTACTGAATTGAATTCAGTCTCCCTGTTACTCCCACCCGTGAGTACCCTCTCTGTCCCATGGAGATGCAATAGATCTGTCCAATCTTGATTCCCATCACCTGTGAAGTTTGGTTAATGGAGATGCTGACCCTGTCCCCTGTCCAGTGTGTTGTAAGCAGGAGCTTAAGATAGGGAACCAGCTTAACTGGGGTTCAAATTGCAGCTTTGCCACTTACTAGCTGTGTGACCTTGGACAAGTTACATAAGCTCTCCATCCAGTTTTCTCATCTGCAAAATGGAGATAAAATTTGCTGTGCATGGCTGTTGTAAGTATTGAAGATAAAATATGCAGAGCAACTGACAAATAACACAGCTTTGGTGTCAAAGTTCCAATCTAGCCATGTGACACTTACCAGCCCTGTGACCTTGGGCAAGTGATTTCCCTAAGACTCCATTTCCCCATCTATGAAGTAAATGTTATAACAGAACCTACCTTGAAGGGTTGTTGTGAAGATTAAACAACACCCAAGTGCTGTGCTCCACGCATGTCAGTTTCAATAATAACATGATTATATTAGTAATGATTATGATTATCACTTAGATTCCAGATGTGTGTTCCTATGATCTGAAATCTTCACCTCAGCCAGGGTAGACAATTTCACTCACTGTGTGGAATCAGGTATCTCGCAGGATACCTGAGCCAGCACTGAGCTGAAAACACCATGGCATTGTTGTTTGAGGTCTTTGCTCAAAGTCATGGTCAAGGATTCCCTCCCAATTTCTTTAATGGGCACCTACAAAGAAAAATCTGAATGACTATGTGTCCACTGTATGTACTACACTATTTTTCCCTAAGGCATCATCTTTCAGTTCCATAGTTGGCAGCGAAAAGAAGGAAGAGAGGGAGAGGGAGGAAGGGAGGGGAGGACAAGAAGAGGAGGAAAGAAAATTGTATGAGGAATAATGTGCCCAAGATACACAGTTTTGTTATTCTCTGAAAAATTCAGATTGATATGTGACAACTTCGAGTTGTAGCAGAACTAATTAATTCTTACATTTTTAAATAGTCTACAGTATACAGGGTGATTTGGCAGTTCTTGAATTGACATGATTCTCCCAGCAATAGTGAGATAGAAGGAACTACTGTCCCCATTTTAGAGAGAGGACACTGAAGTTCAGAGAGGTTGAATGGTTTTCCCAGATGAGAGGCAAGATAGAACTAGAAGTCCAGCCTCTGATCCAGTGCTTTTCCCACCCAACCACCGCAGTGCAATCCCAGTATATTCTCCTCCACAGGATTATTTGTTAAGAAGTCTACACAGGTGGTCTCCCACTGGGATCTGGGTATTGAGATCTGGAGTCCAACCTCTCCCAAGCTGACATGGTTGGGCCCTACATTCTATTTCATCCTCATAAATTCTAGACTGTCTCCCATTTTAGTCGTGACCCACAACTTGTCTTTGACAACATAGCCATCTCAGGGACTAGATCAGATAGTAGTGCCAGGCAGTATGATGGAGATTGTGATCCAGGTGACAAATGGGGCTGAGTGACAGGCAAGCCTATATTTGGTGTCCCACCTTCAATGACCCATGTCAGTACCAGGCAACGCTGATAAACAAAAGGCCCATCCCTTGGTACCTTGCCAGGGTAAAATCACATTCCAGGCCTGGCTAGGGAAGTGTTGAGACACAGGAATTCCAAAGCAATGCGGAAAAAGTTGTGTATGTAAGCCAGGACCTAAGTGTGCTTTCAGATCATAGTGACTTTAATTAGCAGATTGGTGCTATTTGAATAACCTGCAATATAGTGGATGACAATGCCTTGCCTTTGAATAGCTTTTCAATACCACTTTAAATTTCATCGTATTTCCATGACCTTCACGATGGTCCTATGCAGGAGATAATATTATAGACAATTAATACCATTGTTCAAGGTCAGAAGGTCAAGATTAGAATCCATGTCTTTGGATTCAAATGCTGAAGTTCAGAGAGGTTGAATGGTTTTTGCAGATCACAGATTTGAAGAGGCAAGATGGAACACCCTCTGCCTCATGGCCTTTGAGCATTGGAAGAAGAAATCAGAGTCATCTTCTGTGTTTAGCCTCCGTAGCTACATTCCCATACTTAGAAATGGAACTGAGCATCTGAAAATAAAATACTTACTGATTTCTATTTTCAGGCCCTGGTATATGTATGTCAGATATTCATGATCACTTAAAAACATCTTGTGCTAGGATACATTCACTTGTGAAGAAGGTATTATCTGTAATCTTATCCTCATTTTGAAAAGTATGTCTAGGCAATTGCTAAATATATACATTTACATATATATGTGTGTGTGTGCATATATATGTATGTATGTATATCTCCCCCAAGAGGCATATCTGTCTCCCATTAACTTGCAGGACATGCCAATGAAATCTCCATTGAAGATTTGAAATGAGAAATTTGACCTAGGGTTGTTTTCATTGAAAATTTCCACATCCTTAATTTTACAAGTGTCACTGTCATGTTCCTGGATGAGACATATTTCATTTCTCCCTATATTATGTTGAATTGCAGGATCAAAAACAACATGAGCAAAATTATGTGATTCTGCTCTTTTCCAGAAAACGAGAGAAAGATGGATCTTAGAAAAAGAAGTTAACTAAACAAAAAAAAAAAAAGAAGAAAAGGAAAAGAAGTTAACTTAGAAAATATTCATAGATGTCTACTTTTTATGCCATACCTTGTTTGTAAATGAGGGGGTCAGATAATCTTAAAAATCTACTTCAACTAATCTATTTAAGAGTCTGTAGTTTAAATAGAATCCAAAACAAACAATTTGGGCTTTTTTAGGAAATAATAAGGCTTTTCTCTACTAAAAATGTTCTTCTCCTTTTTCTCTAGCTGGTGAACTCCTATTCACCCTTCAAAGCCCCATTTGAATGTGATCTCTTCTGTGACCCTCTAACAACTCTCTGCTGTCACCCCCAGTCTAAATGTGGGTAGTCGTTCCCCACTTGAGTTTTCATAGCACTTTTCTCTAGACTCTTCTCTAGTACAAACTATTCTGGTTCCTGCCTGTCTTCCTCCCTCACCCCTTGATCCCTCCGAGTACCTAGTACAGTTCTTGACACATGATAGGAAGGTAGTAAATGCACAGAGAATGAGTGAATAAAGGAACAAATGAATGAATGAATGCAGGCTTGATTCTAAGCCTTTCAACTCAAAATCCATTACTATTTCCACTATACTAAATAACCTGAACTGTAGAAATAGAAACACTAAATGCTTCTTTTTAAAACTTATTTTCTAAAATTTTATTGAATAAATGGAAGAGCTTGTTCCTATGAGAGGAAGGATAGGATGTTCCTGGCTAACCTCATAATTTTTCTAAGAGGGAAAAGCTCTTTGAGGAGATATTTATATAGGAACATTCCCTTCAGTCCTAGAGTCAGGTTCAGTGGTCTATTTGCTATTTACTTTCTGTTTCTTAGCAAAAACCGTCTTTGTTATGAGACTGTGAGATACAATCCGCACCAGTTGACCCAGGAGGGCTTAGTGTTAATCATCAACTATTATAAGAAGGTGACTGGCTTCCCAGAAGGGAAAGAGAAGGTCAGAAGCAGCCACTCAGAATGGCCTGATAGTGCTTAGTGTCAACGACAAAATGACACATCAGGCTTCTTAGAAACCAAAGGATTTTAATGAAAATTCAACTTCCCTGGGCAGCTGGCAGGATTTCATAAATTTCATTGAATATTAAGGGCTTATTTCAGTTCTGCTCAGGGGAAACTGAAACCTTGAATTCATACTTATAAACACACACAGACACAAAAAGAAAATTATTTTTTAAAATCCTTTTCTTTGGTTAATATCTCTAAAACATAATCCTCTAGTGAGGAGACAATGACAGCCCTGGGGGCTGTCGCTATCAGCAGCTCCTTGCAGCAGAATATGCTTCCAAGGTGCAGGAGATGCATCAGTACCATCATCTGGCTCCCGTCCAGCCCTGTGAAGTACCTGCCTGCACATCACGTCATTTGGTCCTATAAACAACACTGTGAAGCATCAAGGGGAAGAATGACTGTCTTCATTGTATAGGTGGGAAAACAGATATAAAGAGAAGCTATTTAGTTCATCCTGATATACACAGCAAGTGGAGAGTAGACCCAAAGGAAGAAGATAGGTTTCCAGACTACTGATCTAGTGTGGTGCCAATCTATCTTATTATCTGGGCCATGATATTCTTAAAAAGGAATTCATGGGGCCGGCCCGGTGGCGCACTGGATAGTGCGCCGCTTGGGAAGCACGGCGGCGCTCCCGTCCGAGGGTTCGGATCCCACATACAGACCGGCTCCCGCTCACTGGCTGAGCGAGGCGCGGGAGCAACGCCAAGGCTTGCGATCCCGTTGCCAGTCCCCGGTCCGGTACGGGGGCAACACTGAGGGTTGCGATCCGTTGCCAGACACGGAAAAAAGACAAAAGACAAAAAAAAAAAAAAAAAGGAATTCATGGATATGAGGAATAAATTCAAATAGGAGATTTTACCTGTTTTGTATTTTTATCAGCAAGACAACCTAAGACTTTTCTACTCAAAGGGTAGTCTACTAACTAGCAGCATCAGCATTGCCTGGAGACTGTTAGAAATGCAAACTTTCCTGTCTCTCCCCAAGTCTACCAAACCAGAATCTGCATTTTAGCACCGTCCAAGGTGATTCAGAAGCACTGAGCTAAACAAAAAGATAATATTATTTTCATAGGTGACTTTCATTTCTGATAGGATACTTTGTTAAACCTGAGATGAAAAATAATAATATAAAAGTATATAAAATAACAGATGCAAATATTACTTATAATTTTATACACATAAAATTAACCCATGCATTCCTTCCAAGAACCATGTGAGATACATAGGGGCAGATGCTATTGAAATTTAACAGAAGAGGAAACTGAGTCCTAAAGTGGTAAAGTGACCACTCACAGCCATCTAAGCATCTGAGCTTTTTTAATGACTTGCACACAGTAGCTATTTGTTGAATGAATGAATGAATGAAAGAAACATCACACCAACTGAGCTGGACCTGGTCCTCATTCTGCTTACTACTAGGGATTGGTTCATTCCTGAGGTCACCTAAATTAAATGTATTTGCTTTATATCCCATTAGACTTGACCTTGATCAGAGTCTTCAAGATGCCAAACTGGGGAGGAGGAGCAAAATGTGGAGCCTGTGAAAAGACCGTCTACCATGCAGAAGAAATCCAGTGCAATGGAAGGAGTTTCCACAAGACCTGTTTCCACTGCAGTGAGTTGGGTGAACACCAGGACGGCCCCTCAGCATCCTGAGGGCATTTCAAAGTTCACATTTAACCACAGATACTGTATGTCAGTGGTTTTCAGTGTGGTCCTGGGACCAGTAGTATCACCAGCGAGCTGGTTAAAAATAGAACTTTTGGGTCTCACCTACAGAAGGATCAGTGCTCTCTTGAGCTCAGGGCCATCTCCCTGCAGCTTACTGCCTTCTGTGGTGAAAACCTGGACCCACTGGTGACATTTACAAAGTGTGACTTGGCAGAGAAGAGCAGCCAGCTCTTATCTGGAGCCAGGATGGATTTGGCTCTCTGTGTTGTTCCTCCTGGCCAGCTGTGACTGGTCTTTCCTAAGAAAGAACCTATGTCAGACAGGAGGCAACACGTACTAATTCCGTAAGAGTCAGAAAAGGGAAGCGGTCAGGGCCTGGGCACCAGTAACTTCATGAAGAGAATCTTTATCATCACCTACCAGACACAGATTTGCAAATATAAAAATTGGGGGAACACTGAGCCCCTGGGGTCCACCTGGGAGTCTGACTCTGCCAGACTCACGTGACTTTGGATGAGTCATTTCCCATCTCTAAGCTGAGGTGGCATGTATCTCTCTGCAGCTGATAGGAACAGAACCTGTACCTTCAGACTCCCAGTCCGGTGCTCTTTGACTGAATGCATTCTATAGAGTTTCCTAAGGCAAGTCCTGTTTTGGGCGAAATTGGCCATGGCTTTGAAATGGTTGCTTACCTCCTCAGCCTCCCTCCAGTAGGTCTGGCTTAAGGACCAGCTTTGCCGAATGTCTGGCAGACCCCATCCTGTCTAGTCTCCCCCCACAAACTCCACATTCCCACGGTACGCACGCAGGCATCCACACAGCTCCAAACTGTTTCAAACAGAACTTCAAAGGCTGAACTCCATCTGTTAGGCAGAGAGATACTCCTTCCTTAAGCTGCCAGAAATAGTAATGTGTTATCAGCTGCAGGAGTTTCCATTATCCCTTACCTCCCACAGAAAACAATTATCATTGAAGAAAAGGGGAAACATGGCTCTGAGTGATTGGGTTGGTGTACTTACTGATGCTTTGGGTTTTAATGATGGGTAATTATTTTTTAGTCATCTCATACGACCCTCAGATTTATCACTATTATTACAACTATCCAGAATTCATTGCTCAAGAGAGTTCATTCCATAATCCTCTGGCTTTTTCAAAAATGGCTAGTGTTCTTTAAAAAGAGTGGAGGTGAGGGATATTGGAAAGAATTCTGGAATTGGAGTAAAAAGGACCAGGCTTTGAGTCTGGGCTCTGCCATGTACTAATAGTGTGACTGTTGCTTTGCCTTACACAGATTTGTCACCTCTCTTCCCCTGGGTGATGGAGCCACAAAAAGTATTACCCAAAGCCCATTTCTTCTGAGCAGTGAGAGACCCCAAAGGGGTTAATTTCCCGGAACCCTCAAGAGAGAGGCATTCCTTCCTTTGGAAATTAACCATAAACTGGGTTCTCTCCCCACATTTATTCTCCAGACCAGGAAGTTATAGGAAGAGAACATAGGTGGGGTTATGGCCAAGTATATTTTAGCATTAACATCAGTGAAACAAGTGAAGTGACATTCCATAATGCAATTTGCAAAAGGTTGAGTTGATCTACCAACAAAAGCTTGATCTTAGCAAATGCTGTTTTTCCTTACAGCAATTTCCCCGGTATTTTTACATATCAATCAAGTGACTTGTCTGTCCTTGAGCCAGCAACTTTGCTGTGTTACAAAGACTTTAGCCTGAGGAAAGTTTCCTGTCTTTTGCAAGGTTAACATTTCTGTATGTAATTCCAAAAGGTTAGGCTAAACCTGAGACTACAGGGCTTTGGAGAATAGGCCCTGTGAAATACATTTGCTTTATAAATGTTGGTATATTTCACATGTGACCTTGGGCAAGTCATTTCACCATTGTGAGCCTCAATTTCTCCATCTATACAATGATTGTGCCTATTGCAGTTACAAGGAAGAAACTGGTGTCCTCAATATGGAAATCCAGCCTTCTAGACCTTTATTCTCCTTTGATCAACTTTGATATCTGAGCAGGAACAGGAAATGGTAGGGAAGCTTTCCCTGGTAGGGGTGTCTTGCCCTTCCCATGTGGCAGGAAGATGCCCTGTTCAATACAGCCTTGGTGGAAGGTATTTTCCTTAGAACTTGTAGTTAGGGTGGGGATCTGAGCAGTATAAGTTTCGGTAGTAATGACAGAAGGGCCCTGGAGAGGAGCACACTATCATCACAAGACTTACCTGTCTGCAAGCAAATCCACAGTCACTGGAAAAGGGTTTAAAGAGGTAGTAGGGTCTACCTCAGCTCTTCCCCTGCCAGTATTCTGTTTTCTAGATGAATCTCCATAATTAGTCTCTAGACTAATCCTCCAAATCAGTACCGTCCAAAAGAAATATAATGCAAGCCACATAGGTAATTTAAATATTCTAGTAACCTTAGTTTTAAAAGGGTACAAATTAATTTTAAAACATTTTACTTAACCCAACATATCCAAAATATTATCATTTCAATGTGTAACAATATAAAAATTATTAATGAGATATTTTACATTCTTTTTGCATTTGTACTGTGTTTAAAATCTGGTGCACATTCTGTGCTTATAGTACATCATGTGGGTGGTGGTGGTATTAGACAACACAGCTTTCCTTTGACTGTGTATAGACACTGGTCGGAAGCCAGGGAGAGGCTACAGAATTGACCACGGCAGTTTTGGAGTGACGGGAATGAGCACTGGAGTAGGAGTCAAAAATCTGAAGTTAGCCAAGGCTCTACTGTCGTATAATCGTAGACCAGCCACCAATCTTCATTCACTCACTCACTCATTCATTTATTCGTTCATTCATTCATTCGCTCATTTATTCAACAAATTTTTACAGAAGACTAACTCAGGCCCAGGCCCTGGGCTATATTTTGGGGATATTAAGATAAAACAGCCTTGACCACAAGGAATTCAAAGTCTAGACCATCAGAGAATGTGTGAGCAGTTGTCCTGAAGGTGGATAACTGACAGCAATAAGAAAGGCAGAGACAGGTGTCTTCTATACCTCAGTATTAGGCATTTTTCCCTCAAAATTATTCTTCATAAAAAACATTTGCCTTGTGTTCAAAGCCTTATAAAATCTCTCATGCCATAAGACATTTTCTCAATTACTTTATTTACTTATCTAAACTTTTTTCTTTTAAACAGAGAAGTTTTAACACATGCAATGTTGACAGAATAGTTGAATGAACTCCCATACGCTCTCTCTCTAGCCCCACAACCATCAACCCCTGGCCAATCCTACCTCATCTACAACCTTATCTTCCTCCACTCCAGTATTCAATTACTTTATTTTTTAACAACAAAATACCATTCGATTCAATGCTGTGTGTGGAGAACAAAACAAAAAAGCAAAAAACCATTTGAGGAAGGCATATTAGCCCGAAACAACCTCATTCAATTGTGGATTGCTTATAGAGATCACTCAATGTAACTGGTTTTAAAAAAGAGGCAAATAAATTTAATGCACGTGTATTTTTATTTCTGGGGATATGACCTGACTGTTAACAAGCACTAAGTATCACTAGAAACCACCTTTAAAGATTATTATTGCAAATCAATGCAGCAAGTTGTTAAGTTGTGGAAATACTATATCATTTTTTAAAGCTGCACCAATGTTATGCTAATATTTCCGTCTTGTTGAGACTTGATTTCCAGGTGACAGCCTCCTACTCTGGTGTAAAACAGGGCTGCCTCTCAAACGATTCAGACAGAAGCGACAGTGAGCTGCTCAGCAAAGCTGGGTCAGCTGCCCCCAAAGTGGCTGGTTGTGAGGAAGATGCTGATGTTGAAGGTGCAAAGAAAAAAATGGATATAATTCTTCCCTGAATTTGTGTGAGATTAGAAAAAAATAACATTTTCAAATCTAATATATTGTTGACTTATATTATTAAATTAGTTATAAGTAGATATTTAACATTTCCTTTTACATCTTTAAAAATTTTTTTTTCAAGTTTGCAGAAAAAAATCTTCCTATAAATCTCTTTGGAAAAATGGGGGATTGACTGTCTTATATCTGGGGAAACTTTACATTGGGTAATATATAGTGACTGGGGGGCTTGAGCCCGTAGAAACCTAAGGGGTCTGTGAGGCAGGCCTACCCCTTTCACCACCCCTTGCTTCCAGAACTGTACACAAATTAGCCTCGATGGCGAGCGTCTCCTTGAATATCACAGTGCCCTTCAAAGGCCATGATAAGTACAGAAATTTCTCAATCCTGATTCTTATATGATTAAGAAAAAATAAGTTCCTCTCCTGCTTCAGCCCCTAACCATCATCCCCCTCACACATACACACACCCCTGTGGTCATCTGGGGTGAGACACTCAGGGACATTGTTCTCAGCAGATCTGGACCACACACCTGGTTCCAGTGCTGGCCTCTGCCCCTTGCTAGCTGGGTAGCACTGAACATATTCCTTCTCTTCTTTGTGCCCCAATTTCTTCATCTGTGAAATCGAGATGTGTTGGAGTCTATCATGCAAGACAGATGCTCTGGTCAGGAATCAGAGTTGTGTTTTTGGCCCAAGGGCCCCTCATGCTGGGTCTCTGGCCCCAGCATGGCAGTGTGGGTGCAGGGAAGGAGAGAAGGATGTCAACCCCAACCTGCTGACCCTTTCTTTCTTCGGCAGTGGCCTGCAGAAAGGCTCTCGACAGCACAACGGTCGCAGCTCATGAGTCGGAGATCTACTGTAAGGTCTGCTATGGGCGCAGGTATGGCCCCAAGGGGATTGGGTACGGACAAGGCGCCGGCTGTCTCAGCACGGACACAGGCGAGCACCTCGGCCTCCAGTTCCAACAGTGAGTTACTGCTCACCCCCCCCCCCCCATTAGAGTCTTCAGTTATCAGGACAGTTCATTCTGTTCCCATAGCAACGTTTTCTGGAAGTGGGAGAATGGACTCTATTGTTGACTTGCCAACAATAGGAATACTCAGTCTAACCAAGTTTTAACAATGTGTCATCTCTCCAAAGACTCTTTTTAAATTATCCACCTTCTAAAGGGCAATTACTTTTACACCATGGTTCTTGGTTTGCATGTCAAGAGAAAACCCAGAATATACAGATGTTCCATTGTTTGACCTTTGCAAAACTGCACGGAGGCTCTTTTCTTCCCCGCTGAGAGTTTCTGTGTAAATCACATAAATATGGCAGGGAAGCGATGGCCATTCTCTGTGTGCTTGTCATGAAAAGATTTCTTCCCTTGGATTGAAAGATGACTAATGTCCGCATCCCAGGAGGAGTGGGTCTGCAGGGGGACAGTAACACAAGCTAACATACCGGGAGCATTTGTTAAGTGCTTTACAACAGAAAGGAAGGATTTATTTATTTATTTATTTTTCCTTTTTGCAACTTTATTATAAAAAACAATTTAAATTGCAAATAAATCATATTTTTACACTGTGTAATAGGCCCCTTCTCAAAATAACAGTGATAGTTATCTGTGACTGATGAAAGAATAAAAATTAAAGTTAAAGCCAATGATAAGAATGGAATTGGAGTGGACATGTGGACTTTCAATAAATTGTCAGAAAGGAAGGATTTAAACCCATTATAGCTGACATTTATTAGCCCTTACTATATGTCAGGCAGGCACTGCTCTAAATGCTGTACATGTCACCTCATTCAACACCTCTGTGAGAAAGGCACAATGATTATCCCCGTTTTCCAGATGAGGCATCTGAGGCACAGCAAAGTAACTTGCTTAAGGTCACACAGTTCCTACCATTTGTCAAGGGAGGTCTGCATTTCATTCACTTATTTCTACCAGGTCCCCAAAGTCGGCACGCTCAGCCACCACCAGCAGCAACCCTTCCAAGTTCACTGCAAAGTTTGGAGAGTCAGAGAAGTGCCCTCGATGTGGGAAGTCGGTCTATGCTGCTGAGAAGGTCATGGGAGGTGGCAAGGTAAGGCCTTTTGTATGAGCCAGATTTGCTCATTTCCACGGGATCAGTTGGGAGGAATGAGAGAAGAAAGTGGGAATGGGGGTGGGGGTTTGGGGGAGCAGACCCCTCATTCTCCTTAGCTCCAGAACCACTTAGAAGCCACATATCCTCATGCAGTTTCCCAGGCTGGGACTGTCATCCAGCAGTGCCCTTGGACAGCTAGCACTACTGCAGTTCAAAGCAACCAGCGTTAGCTTACTAGGTGGAAGGCTCCCAGCTAAAAACTCTGGGGGTACAGGGCACACGTGCCCTTCAGTGTTCACAGTCCTTCCAGAAAGGTGTCAGTGCTGGGAACCCCGAACCACTGCATAACTCAACCTGCTGCTGGCATCACAACTGATTTATACAGAAAATATTTCACAGCAGCGAGACGCATTTCCACTTACAAATGTCCTAGCTCTCAGGAAACTCATCAAATATTGGAGACAGTAATGCATACGTGCTCTGCAAGCTCTGATTTCTGGCCCCAAACCAGGGTTTTCACCAAAGGAGTTGGACCTGAGGAATGAGAAAAATCCTGATTATACTAAATGGGGAGAGGAAGGGCCCTGGAGAAGTCTGACTTCAAACATAAGAGCAGTTTCCACCCCCAAGAACATATGAGACCTAATAGAACCTCCAGGCTGTGTAGAAGGAAAGCAACCTTCTGCATGATCCAAGCCATGCAACTCTGCCATTGAATTACACAGAAAGTTAAAACAAGGTTGAATTACCTGTATAGTTGCCTTATTTCTTCACTTTTTTCCTTCTTTAACTTTATATTCAATATAAACATTACCCACTGTCCCAAGCCCAAGTCCTTCTCTGACCAGTTTGTTCCATGGATCTTTTTGGCGTGGGGAAGCCCTTTCTGGTTTAGTCTATTCTGAAAGAATACACACACAAATTACCAAGATAAATCCATTTACAGGGCTGTGAGAATTGCTGGCTAGGACCACAGCATCTCATTTTCTCCAAAGCCATGCCCTGGAAACGTTATTCTGGGGGCCCATCAATGAAGTAAATGGTTCAGACAGTGCCACTCCTTTGCATGGTGCTGGTCAGGGACTTGAAATGGAATAGAATATGCTGCCCCCTCACTAAATATGTAACAATCCTGTGCCCCTCAGCCTTGGCACAAGACTTGTTTCCGCTGCGCCATCTGTGGGAAGAGTCTGGAGTCCACGAATGTCACTGACAAAGATGGGGAGCTTTATTGCAAAGGTGAGTGGTTCTGGAGATTTTGTTGAGAAATGTTTTCCCAAAAAGGGCCCTTGGGAAGGGAAGTCGTGTCCATGCCCAGAGGCCTTCCAGTTCTGCCAGGAGCATGATTGCTCAGCCTGGGCAGGGTTCGGGTTCTCAGGATGGGCAGCAAAAACACCAAAGGGAAAGAAATCTCCCGCCTGACCCAGCTCTGGTCCTCTCCACTGGAGTACCTGGAAGGGACCAGATGCTCACAGATGCTCAGTGGTTCAGGGCAGCTGGGTGCCTGTGGGGAGAGAGGAAGGGGAGGAAATGCTGTCCTGCCTCTGGCCTTGGAAGAGGCCTCAAGCCTGGACAAATGGTATCACACTCCCCAACCACGCTCTGTCCACCCGAGTGGCAAGGGTGACTGAAGGAGGATGCACTCAGCTTGGCCTCACGTGACTTTATCAAGACATATCCACATCCCTCCTTCCCTTCCTCCTACTTCCCTTCCTCTCCCTCCCTCTCCCTCCCTCCTGACATTTCTGATGTTGAACAGCACTTCGTGCCCACAGGGACGGAACTCATTTTCCTCCTGTTGATTGCAGCTCTGCTCCCAGCTGCCTCTTCTGTCCACCCGAGTGGCAAGGGTGACTGAAGGAGGATGCACTCAGCTTGGCCTCACGTGACTTTATCAAGACATATCCACATCTCTCCTTCCCTTCCTCCTACTTCCCTCCCTCTCCCTCCCTCTCCCTCCCTCCTGACATTTCTGATGTTGAACAGCACTTTGTGCCCACAGGGACGGAACTCATTTTCCTCCTGTTGATTGCAGCTCTGCTCCCAGCTGCCTCCATAATCCCTTGGTCTTCAGGAGACATAGTGAGGCTTAGTTCCTTCCTGACACTACGAAAGGAAGGGATGCAGCAGCGCTGAGGCAGAGTGTCCTCCACCCCAGAGCCTTTCCAAGCCTATTCTGTTGCTCTGCGGAGCTTCATCACTTAACAATCGTGTCTCAAGAATCTCCAAATGTATATGGTGGAGTGGTGGTGGGGGCAATGAAAAGGAGGTTAAGAGGGAGAACATTATTAATCAAGACTGTAAGTTGCCAAAGCTTTTGTCAGAATGAGACAGGATGGGAACTAACCCACTATCTGACAGAAGGTAGGTTGCCTTCTCTTGGCACTGGACGACATAGAGATTTCTCGGCATTCATAGGCCATAAAACCCTGAAATGTTGCTGCAGCCAGCAGGGATATATGTAATCAAATAATTGCATTTCAAAGTGCAAAAAGCTATAGTAGAGGAACATTCACAGTCCAGTAGCCTACAGAGAGGAAAGCAATCAGTGTGGAGTGATGGGGAAGTCTTTGTAGAAGACATGCTTCTTCTAGAGCTTGAAGGGTGAATGTGGGCTTGGGAAAGGGCATTCCAGGAATAGGGGGCGAGTAGCTCTGCATGCCTGGAGTGCAGGGAAGGAGAAGGGAGGCAGGAGGGGATGAGGCTGGGCAGGCCATCTGGAGCCAGAAGATAAAATGGCTTGGAACACAATTAGTAAAGAGCGAAGAGGTATAAACAATTTTTATTAGCAGATCTAAGATAAGTATAGTTCAATTTATTTAAAAGTTAACTTATGCATAAATTTATCAAAAGTATGCCTTTAACAGGTGAAAGGACTGTGCCCAGACAGAGGATTTGAAATGTGGAGCTAACCAACCTATTCTCTCTCCCCTTACCCCTTCTCGTTCACAGTTTGCTATGCCAAAAACTTTGGCCCTACAGGTATTGGGTTTGGAGGCCTTACACAACAAGTGGAAAAGAAAGAGTGAAAAGGTGTGCCATTTCTCAGATTTTTCACCAGCCTGAAGCAGTTGCCAAGTAACCCTGCACAGATGGAAACCTTTCCCCAAACAGCCTCTGGTTTGTAGTTGGACAGCATTTCTCTCCAGAAATGATCATAGCCTTGACCCAAAGTCAGAAGAGACCTTTGGGAAAAAAAATTATTTAAAATTTAATCTGTAACAAATGCTTTATTATTTATGATATCTGGGGTGGGAAAGGTAATAAATAAATGTTTTAGTGGTACCTTGTATGTCTCTGGATCTTTTTGAGGAGGGTGTGGTTAGAGGGAAATTTTAAAAAAACTTGCTGCAGAGAATGTAATAGATTTGGATGTCAACTGGAAGGAGTGAGAACAAGCAAAGGAAGGCAGTCTTCCAGAATCTGTCAGTTGAGTGTCTTTCTAGCTACTGCTAATGGAGAAGGAAACAGGGACATAGAGAATATGCCGGCAAATTCTAAGAGGAAATCAAAACTGATAAAACTGCTGAAGAGTCGATCCTTTTGTCCTATCATGGGCTTCGCAATATTACACATTTCGTGAAAACTCAGAAATGACAACAAAGTATGGCATTTGTTTCTTTATTATAAACAACATAAGGATGATTTTCTTTTATTCTAGGACAATTCTCTGGGGTTCAGCAATTTTCTTAAAACTTCTCCCACATCAAATTGCCAGGCTCTCAAATGAAATGCAGCCAATTAGAAATGTCTTTCTCTGCATCTTCAGCAAGTTCTTAGCAGCTTGAGTGCTTGTATCTTTTTGGGTCTCTGCTTTTAACGACCACAGCATTTCTTCCATCACCATGCAATTCTGAATTATTTGGAGTAAATGAAAGCAAATGAAAATCTATGGATAAAAACTACAAACTACACTTGGCTTAACCATGAGTTTTTCTATGCTCCAAGTCCCAAGAAAAGCTTTCTTTAAAATGAGCATTTATTCAGGACTGCTTATGTGCTGTCGTGGACAAGGCCCTGCACAGACTCTAAAAGCAACGTACTACCTTGGCCCCATGCTAAGGATTTACAGGCTCGCGAACGGGTAGGACACACATGTGAAATGACCACAGGACACTGCAACTTCCTCCTCCTCCTCTGCTGCATTGCACAGTTCTAGCCCCCCTTCCATGTACCCAGCAGACTGAAGCTGAAAACTCCAGTCACCCTTAGCTTTGCCCCCTCCCTCAGCCTTCTTGCCTCACTCCTCAAGCCTCCTTGATTCTGCCTCCAAAATGTCTGTAGAATACATCCCCTCCATTCCCACACTTCAGTACGTATATTATTCTGCTAAGACTGCCATAACAGAGTACCGCAGATGGGTGGCTTAAATTTGTCTCACAGCTCTGCTAGAAGTCTGAGATCAAGGTGTGGTCAGAGTTGGTTTCTTCAGAGGCCTCTCTCCTTGTTTGGTAGATGGCCATCTTTTCCCTGCATCTTCAGATGGTCTTCTCTCTGTATGTGTCTACATCCTAATCTTCTCTTCTTGTAAGTACACCAGTCATATTGAATTAGGGACCACCTGAATGACCTCATTTTTAACTTAACCACCTTTACATGAATTTTGGGAGACATAATTCAGCCCATAAAGTATGTCATATAAGGACTTTCAAAAATTGGCCTCAGCCTTACCCCTTCAACTTGGCTTTAGATAATCTCTTCTACACAAATTTAAGCTACACTCAAAGACTTAGAGCTCTCCAAATATGCCTAGTATCCTCCCCACATTGTGCCTTAGCTAATGCCATTCCTTCTACCTTGAGTTCTTAGAAGATGGGACCCCCCCCAACCTTCACCCCCTAGCCCAATTCCTTAGCCTGGTGAACTCCTATTAATCAAGTCATAGGTCCGATGCCATCTCCTCTAAAAAACCATTCCTGAACTACCTGAGCAAAATTAATCCACTTCTGTGCTCCCATAGCTGGTATGTAATTAACATGGCACTTGTCCCTGCATTGAAATTCTGAATTCCCACTTGCCTCCTTGTTAGAATGTGACACGCTTACATTTACAGTGTTCGACAAATAGTAGGCACTTCATAAACATTTGCTGAGTGAATGAAATGGAAGAGAGTGTAGGCCAGACTAAATGAAAATTCTGCTAGAATTTAACAGAAGAGATTATTACATCCTGGAGGGAAGGATCTCAGAAAGAAAACAGCAAAACAAAGGAAGAACATTATCGTGGTCCAGCAATGGTAGTGTTTCTCCTCGGCTTTCTGGGCACATTGTTCTGCTACATTTCCCAGCTCCCCTACTGTTGACTGGGACATGAGCCGGAGTTTGGCCAATGGCATCCTGGCCTTCAAAGACCTCTCGAGAGTCTCTATTCTTTCCACATCCCTGGATGAAGAAGATATAGTAGACAACTGAGGCCCTAAGGAAATGGTGGAGCCACTAGCTGAGAAGGAGCTTGGATCTCTGCATGGAAGGGCACTTGCTAACAGCTAAGTGGACTGTGACATGAGGAAGAAATAATACTGTGTTAAGCCACTGAGACTAGGGGGATATTTATTATCGCATTCACTCCCTTGACTAACCCACAACCAAAATATCTAATGTGCTACATTCAAGTTATTCTACTTCTAACTGCTTTGGTGTCCATACTGTCTATTTTAATTCAAAGGAGGCATCATCAAGATTTGGCCTAATATTTGCAAAAGTGATTCAAATTGTTGTCTCCAATGTGACTACACAGATACTTGGGGAAAGGAATAAAGTTATGGCAAGATAGCACAACAGTACATTCCCCTGGCCCCAACAAATACGATTGGTTTTGCCATGGCTTTAAAACAAAACAAAAATAAAACTTAGCTATTATGCCCCAAGCTACTTACTACCTTCTCCCCCCGCCTTTCAGAGCCAAACTGCAAGAGGAGATTCCTTTTAGCATCCGTGTTCGGAGTCTCCTCCTGCTCCCTACTGTCCACCCCCAACCAGCACCAATAACCAAGGCCTCTAGTAACCTCTTAGTCAGACTCTTTGGTCTTTCCTCTGTTGTTCTTCTCAGCTCTCCTTAGCTCCTGACACTGACTGCTTCCTCTCTGAAATGAATCCTCCTTAAATTCTACGCCACTGAGCTCTCTTGATTATCCTTCCTTTAGAATTGATCTTTTCATTTGAGGAGGGTAACGCTTCTTTTCATTCTACCCCTCCCCTGTGACAATCTCATCCATCTATGCAGGTGACTCCTATCCTCGCCCTGGCCTCTTTCCAATTGCCTTCTAGACTTTTCCTGCAAGTACCCGAAATTCATCACTTAGTTACCTCACAGTTTTCCTTATTTCTCAGAATAGCATCGCCACCCTCTCATTCACTGGGCTCAACACTTCAAAGTGATCTTTGACTCCTCCTCTTCTTCCCCCGACATCCAATCAATGATCTGGTCCTGCTGGGTCTCTTCTGTGCCACTATTTCAGACCTTCATTACTTCTTGCCTAGAGCACCATTAACAGCTTCTCTCTAGCATTCTGTATCTGTCAGGTCCACTGGAAAAAAACAAACCACCCTGGTTATTTTAACAGTATGATAGAGGGAGTTGGCTAAACAGGTGCTGATTATCTTTGAAAAAGTGAAGAGGGAACCCACTAACAACAGAGACAGTAACTGAGGGAAGCAGCTATACTCCCGGGGCAAGGGAAACAAATGTTGTGGTACCATAATTCAGATGCCTTGAGACCTGCGGGGCAGGAGTCAGACTGCCGGGGAGAGAGCTCTGCCTGGTTATTGCTGGTGCTCCAAAGCGGGTATGATGAAGCAGGTTTTGGGAATTCAGAAGAAAAGTGAGACACTGATTCCAACTGTCACTGCAGGGCAAGGGGCCATTGTTGGAGCAACACTGAGAGGAACAAGCCAGCAAGTAGAATGGAGTGAAGTCCCTTCTTCCCCGCCCCCCGCCCCCCCAATCAAACTGGCAGAATCTAATGGGAAGTCAGCTGGCAAGGAGATCGCGGCTTGCAGAATCCTAGCCCCAGAATACACAATATAAAGTATAAAAAAGTGGATTTGGCGCATTTCTCTACCGCTAGCTTCTCTCTCTTAGTAATCAATTTTCCATAAGACCTCTAAATTAGCCAGCATTTATCGAACACTTACTACATGCCAAGTGCAATTCTAAGCACATTACACGCACTGACATTCAGTCCTCATAACATTTGAAGGTGTATACTATTGTTATCCATGAGGGAGTTATGTCATTTGCCCAAAGAGATAAAAGTAGCTTATAATTGGTAGATTCAGGATTCTGAGCCACAGTCCCTAGAATCTGGTTCCCTGGCCACAACTGCCTACCAATAAAACACTGATTCTCAAACTTTTTTTTTTTTAAACTTTCACACCAACATGTACCTGAGGGAAAAAAAATAAAACAGAAGGGTAAGATTCTGTATTAGTCCACTTTTGTTGTTTATAACCAAATACATGGAGCTGGGTATTTTATAAAGAAAACAAAATTTATTGCTTATAGTTTCTGAGACTGGGAAAGCCACAGTCCAAGGACCACATCTGGTGGTGGTGGCAGTGACCCCTCAAATTGCAAGATGGAGGAAACAGAACATAGAGAATAACCTCATTCACGCTTTTTTAAAGCCCTCCAAACCACGCCCATGACCACCATTTTTAATCCCTCTTCAAGTACCCACCTTTCAATTACCGTAATAGGATTTCCCACCCTCAACAGTTACAGTTAAGTTTTGGGGGGACACTCAACCCAAGGCAGATTCCTTAAGTAAATAATTCTCCAATAGCAGTGTGTACATGTAAGAATCATCTGAGGATGTGAGCAAAATTAGGATTTCAGAACTCACTTTCCAGAGACCGATTTGGAAGGTCTGAGAGAGGGAATCTGAATTTTAAACAAGTGAACCCAAAATTCCCCACCCCACCCACCCCATGATTGTGATGTAAATAATCTATGGACCACAATTTGAGAATACTTACTTGGCAGGGATTGGTGAAAAAGAAAGGGAGAGGGGATATAGTTTGCAAAAGTCCTTCTGTCCCTCAGTTGGGAACCAGAGTTTTCAAATGCAACTCTGATCATACTCATTCTGCTTAAAAACCTTTTGACTCACTCAATGAAATGTTAAATATCAGAAATGAAATTTCAATACAAAAAAACCTTTTTTTATTAAATGTGAAAGCAAAACAGGTATATCTATTTAAATACTTTTTTACATATTTATAGACACAACAAGGACAAATAATTTATCAAAAATTACAAGTTAAAGAACAGCACTATTTTGAAAC